TGATCATTAATTATATTATTATATTTATTATTTTAGGTGATTGGATATCACCAACTGTCACTGGAGACAGACCACCTCCTATTAGCCAATTCACTTTAACATCAATTAATAATTCCAGTGCTATATTATTTGGAGGTGTCACTGCTAATGAAAGGAGTAACAATGTATATATTCTTAATTTTACTGATACATCAGTGGTGAGTGTATTATTAGTATAATTACATTCATGAGTGTGTGTGGGTGCAGTTTATGATGATTTTATTATTTTAGAATTGTTTAAAGTTATCTAATCCTGGAGGATCAGTACAATGGCCTAAGGAAAGATGTGCTCATTCCAGTGTATTGATTAACACTAGCTCAGGACCACACCTACTAGTGGTGGGTGGTATTTCTGATCTTTGGATATTTGATATTAAAAATAAATCATGGAAGAAATTGGTAAGTATAACATTATATTGTGGGTGTGGTTTAGACATTTTGGGTGGAGTTTATGGTTTTGGATAAACTATTGAGGAATGAGTTAATCAAATTTTAATAACAATACATGTACATGTACAGTACGTGACAATGAATATTACAAATTATATTTATTATAATTCTCCTTTATAGTTTAATATACCAAAGAATTTCACTTATAGAAGTTATCATTCTCTCTCATTGTGGAGTGTGACTCCAACCACTAACTGGATAATTGTGTTTGGAGGAACCACGTCATACAGAGATACAGCAGTTATTGAACTCAGTGAGTACATGTAAATACAAATGTATTGAATATACACAATTTGTACATATTGAATATAATAATTATAAATTAACAGTATACCGTATAGCGGGAAATTTTGGAAGGAATTAAATTTGGCGAATTTGGCATTTTGATAGCCTATCACCAAAATAAGAACCCACCATTTTAAGCCATTATACGCATGCTCAATGGCACGTGGCCACCAATTCGCCAAATTAAAATCTGCCAATCACCAAAATTTAGCAATTCGCCAAATTTTAGTCCCCCCAAAATTTCCCGCTATACGGTAGCCTTTTGGTATAGGATACTATTGGCCTCACCTACGCAAGGTATAGGTAGTTGTTGTGTGTGTCTGTCATTACCCAAGACCACGTAGGCGTTAGTCGAGGGTAAAGCAGTCGTTTTGTCTGTCTGTGTGTGTGTGTGTTCGCTTGACCTCCACTTTTGAGCTGACACTGCTTTCTTGTCTTGTCCCGGAGAGTCTTATAATCAACACTGGCTCTAGAAAAAGTTATTGTCCATCTTGGGAATCCTTGATTTGTCTTTTCCGTGGAAAAGAAGCTGGCAAAGCCGCCAAATGTAGTCGGCTCTCCTGCAGCTCTTTAGTAGTGAAAGCAAAAGAGCAACAGGGCAGATAAAACAATAAAGCAAAGCCTCATCTTTCATTAATATGAGAGGAATTGCTCCAATCGTCTTCGTTTCAAAGATATGATAGCCCAAACTTTCATACCTTTTGAGTTTAGACGAGGCTCTCTTCTCCTGAGGTAGCAGCCAGAGGCTTTTAACATTAGGGACTAGATAGCAGTTTGTATGCAACAAATAGAGCCTAACAAATGTATGCTAAACTGTTTAAAAGTCGAGAAAAACCAAAGCTTCCTTCACCACTTAGGGCCATGTACCACCATTTACTAGTGATGGGCGATTCCGAGTCCAGAGTATTCGATCCTTCAATTCCGAATGGAATCGACTCGTATCAAAAGAGAAGTAGGAATCGTTTAAAACGATTCCGAATTAAACCACACCCAGCCACACCCTTTGATATTAATAATAGTTAATTAATCAGTAGTTAATACCTCAATTATTCATCATTATTGCATTTTTATTGCTGTAATTGATACCACGTGGCTTTGCACATTTGCAGATCTAATGCTCGGAATTGGTATTAGATTCGATCGATTCCAGTCTCAAAAGTATTCAGAATCGGAATCGAATGCAAATTTCTGGAATCCCCCATCACTACCATTTACTGTGTGTGGGGTGGAGCATGGCTTGATTGAGCCACACCTTCATCGCAGCCGCACCTTTACATTGCTGCAGCTAGCAGCAGTGCAGCAAATATGCTGGAGCAGGGCTCCTGGCTGGAGCTCTTAGACTAAAAAAACAAAAAATTCTTTGTCTGTTTCAAAACATTCACTAAGTTTTAATAAATCTAGTACATGCTGAAGCTTCTTCTCTGTCTCAAAACTTTCAGCAATTATTTTCTCTTAGTTTATTAAAGTTGTTACATACAGATTGGGTCAAGGTTATGCACTTTAGTGCTCTCGTTCATTCATTCATTCATTCTTTACAACTGAAATTTGTCTTTAATAAACAATAACTTTAGCACAGCGTGTTCTAAGCTCCTAGATCTTTCTTTTTGACTTGGAAAAATCTTTCTTAACTGTTTTGTGTTGCTCAAATACAAGCTCTAGGTACAGAAGCTTCAAAGTAAGAAAATCGAGTAGTTGAGCCAAGTTCCGTTGTGTTGGCACTTTAGAGATAGCTGGTAGCATTTCTCAGTAGATTAGAACATGGCCTTCAAAAAATATGAACAGATTTCTCTGAATCTTACTTGATGAAGAGTTATACTTACTCAAAATTTTTGAGGTCACTCGTTTGTGAAGTGCTAGAGCAAACTAAAGTACCTATAATGTCTCAAATATACAAAGGCAGCAACTTTTCTGTCAGCAAGTTTATCACATTTTGCTGATTAGTAAAGAAAAAGTGAAGCTTCTTTCTCACATGGTCTTCTTACTGCCATCATTGCAGTTGATGATGTAATGCCACCTTTTAGTCTGCATGCATGGGAGGGGCTGGAGCTGCTGCATGTATGTGCTGCAGTGCTGCTACTTCTGCAGGTATTCAAGAGCAAGTGCAACTGTAGGAAGCTAGTGTTGAGCAGACTCTCTTCATGCTGATAATCAAACAGCTATTGCAGTGCGGGCATGCACCATAGCAGCTATAGGGGCGAGGCCATGCACTGTAGGTGTCTTGTTTCACCAGATTTGCTTTATTAACTGACATAATAATTCAAAATAATATAAATGAATTTAATTAATTTTTCCACTATACAGTAGTAGCTGATATTATATTAATTATTATTATACATGTACACTGTACATTTATGCATTACATTACTTGTCAAGTTGTTATTGATATAACAGTAATTCTGTATTTTCTGATTAATGATACATATATGCATGTAGCTAGTATTACTTTATTTTCTTTAGTCCTCGAAGGAACTAAAGTCTCAGGCCTTTTTATAAAGACATATATTAGTGATTGGTCTACTAGTGTAATACCTCTGGACCAGTATCAAGAGAAACTACAAGAAAGGAGAAGAGAATGGGAAGCATCTCAACCTGTTCAACCTGAGGATAGAAGAGAAATAGACCGTCTGACACGTGTACTACAAGAAAGGGAAAGGGAACAAGAGGAGGAGAGAAGAGAAAAGGAACAAGTTAGAAACAGACTACAGCAACAACTTGAAGGAAGAGAACGACAACTTGAACAAGCACAGCAACAAGGACAAGAAAGAGAGAGGCAGGCCAGGGAACGAGAGCAGAATCTTCAACGACAACTTCAAGAAAGAGAGAGGGAATCAGAGCAACAAAGACAAGAAAAAGACAGGGAAATTCAACAGGGCAGGGAAAGAGAGCAACAGCTTCAGAGGGAAATCCAACAGGGTGGGGAAAGAGAACAGGGTCTTCAACGACAGCTTCAACAAGCTCAGCAACAAGGACAAGAAAGAGAGAGGGAAATTCAACAGGCACGGGGAAGAGAAAGGCAGGCCAGGGAACAAGAGCAGAATCTTCAACAGCGGCTTCACGAACAAGAGCAGCAATTTCAAGAAAGCCAACGACAGCTTCAGAGGGAAATCCAACAGGGTGGAGAAAGAGAACAGGGTCTTCAACAACAGCTTCAAGAAGCTCAGCAGCAGCTTCAGGAAAGCCAGCAACAAGGACAAGAAAGAGAGAGGCAAGTTCAGGATCTTCAACGACAGCTTCAAGAAAGAGAGCAACAGCTTGTGGAAAGAGAGAGAGAGTTCCAAGAAAGAGAGAGACAACTTGAAGAGCAGATACAAGTGGCAGAGTCTTCCTGGGTAGTGAATAGAAGAGAGATTACAATGACAGAGGTAGTCCTTGGTAAAGGAGGATGGGGAGAGGTCAAAGTAGCTGGTTTTCGTGGTCTGAAGGTTGCTGCAAAGTGTCTCTACGAAATCATCATCTCTCCTCATAACATTACAAAATTCTTTCGTGAAATGAATATCG